TGTGGGGGGGGTTTTTTTTTTTTTTATAGTGATGTGCAGATTTGGTCCCATAAAGAAGTTGCAGAAGGAATTGTGGTAATGCGAGGAGGAATATCACAACATGGCCAAACTCACCTTTTTGGGATTCTTCCACACAATTAATAAGGCTCTCAGTAGCCGCTTTTTGTTTGAAGCTTATTATTACCACTCTTACAATATATATACATATACATATATATATATATATATTGATATGCTAGCTTCTTTTAGCCATGCACACGGTTTCATATATCTAAAATTGTTACTCCTGATCTGGCCGTGATGATCAGGATATATATACACACACACATATAATTTCCATATTTTAGGTACGTTGTAGATTGCACTTCATAACTAGGTTTTGTTACTAGATCTCTTATGTTGATTTTTCTTAGGAGTACTGGCCAATTGTCGGACAAATTAAAGCATCAAGCACCACAGACTTAATTACAAGTTACACACACACGCTGTACCCATGTAATAATATTGTGATTATTTCACCTAATTTATTGCATTAATAATGTAAGAGTTATCCAAGTACTATATGTGTATGTTAGAGATGGTGAACAACGAAACCGTATGGTTAAATACTTTACTAAATACTCTACCATAAACATACATTATGGGCCTGTTTAGTTCATTGATTCGAATTGAGATGTGACTTTATGTGATAGCTTTTTACCATAGTAAAAAAGTTAGATGTGACTGTTTCTGAGAGTTTTTTACTGAAATAAAATTTAAATTCTAAACTCAAAAGGTGAAATGAACGAGACCTATATATACACACACCAAAATGATTGCGAACGTATATAATCTAGTGATAAATCCACACTTTGGTAGTTGGAAAGGTAGTGAACGGGTTGGAGGACAATAAAATTTTCAAAATACCAACCTAAAACCCGACAATTTAGATGGGTTAGAAGGGTTATAGGCGGGTGTGCGGGAGGTTTGGCTGATGGGTAAATTTTTTGGGATAATTTTGTGACCTTTTTTTCTTGACGATATTTTTGGTAGCAAAAAAAGAAAAAAGGAATTTTATATCTTAAACAGTTAAACTTAATCATTAATCATATGCTCAAATAACAAAATATTCTATAACGTATGAAAAATAACAAAATATCTCAAACTACTTAATTATCGTACTTCAAAATCCATATAGTATTATACTCTATATATAGTTTAAATTTATAGTCCATAATTTGATACGACATAAACATAGTTAAAGGGAATTTATACAAAATATTAGTTAAAGTCTCAAAGCTCTAAAATCTAAGGTTTACAAAACAAATACACATATATACACACACATGGATACAAATACATGAAAGAAAAAAAAAAAAAAAAAAAAAAAAAAAAAAAAAAAAAGGGGGGGGGGGGAAAAAAAAAAAAAAAAAAAAAAAAACATAGCGTGGGATTGGGTTCAAAACCAACCCGCTCGCCAAGTGGGTTGAAAATTGACCCATAATAATTAAACGACTGATAACGTGTCCCCATTTTAATGGACGGGGCATTGGTTTTATGCACATCCCTATAGTGTTGTAAAGTTTAAATCTTTCCAACCCTAGATTCAAAGAATAAATAAATAAATACACTATCAAATGGATCTCACTGTGATTTAAAAAAATAAAAAATAAAAAAAAAAGTCTCACTGTTACGGCACTATTACGCGATACTGCATTATAGTTGAAAAATGTCAATCTTATTTAGACTAAGGACTGCATAGATTAAGAACTTAAACGGGGTTAGGTAGAAACACAACTACATTTTTAACAGTTAATTTAGCGAAAGACCAAAAAACAAAGGAAAAAAGAAAAAGAACAGGTACAATACTAATTTTGTAAGGAAAATGATACTATCGCAATAAAAAAGAAAAAGAAAGAGAAAAATATTTCACTACACATAATGTAACTGAATATTTCACTAATAAAGTCTCTTAACAGAAATTTCAACATGTATCTATGATCAAAGAAGAAAAACCGAAACTGTTAATATCGATATTTTCACCAACAAAAAATGAAGGTAAAGATATTTTTTTCCCCGGGAGAACCTGAGGAAGATATGGATACTTTTTGTACAATATCCACAAGTATTATATATTTTTTTTCATTCCTAATTTTACCCAAAATATGCGACGCGGATATAATTTCTACAAGTATATCCGCAAATTTTTCTTTGTTATCCACCTTATATATAAGAAAGCAGGCATAAAAACAAAGAATAATAAATTTAAGAAAAAATAAAATAAAATTTACATGTCTTGATATCTACTCACATTACAAACAACAACAATATATACTTTCGGAAAATTGATCAAGAAGAATTTAGAAGTCAATTATGTTATCTGCATTGCTTGTATGCAATTTAGAATATTGTGACTAAAAAAATGATGAATTAAGTTGTTGTTCTCTAATATATATTCTTCTAAAATTATATGTTCCTTATGTTTATTATGCCACAGAGTATATTCAATATTATTCCCAATCATATTTAACAAATAGGGTATTTTAAGCACCATTTGATTTGCATTCCATAAAATTTCACTTGAAGTTCTAATTTGTTATGAAAATATCCCTCTCGTTTTCTTAATTTTTACAGACATCAAACATAGACATTACCGATAAATATTTTTATAAATCCTGACCTTTAATGTGTTCGTCGATGTCATCATTTTTCTCATCGTTCATGTATCATAATAAATCATTTCATGATTGAGACGTAGTAATTTTTTTTTTTTTTTTGGGGACCAAAATGTTAAAGAATTAACGAGTTGAAGGATATATTCACTCTATAGTAACCATATGAGATGGAAGGTGTAGACTTGCTTCTACAGCCAAAATTTATAAACGTCAGTTAATGTTAGATTAATATGATAATGGACCTTTGTTCACCGTTATTATCCGCATTTAAGCCATTGAACTAGGTTTCATAGAAAACCTTTATGGATTGTAAACAAGCTGAACACAATTATAAAGAACAATCAAATAAAGCATTAGAAATGTAAAACAAATAAAAGAAATGAGACCGAGATATATAATAGTTCACTCCAATTGAGAGCTACATCTACTGTGTTCTTCGTTATCTAGATATTGTTAGTACAAAGCTTAGAAAAAGTACACTGCTCTTCCCTCTTCAAATGCTCAGAAATAACAGTACAGATGTGGGGATCGTAATCCCTTCTTCAGAGTTCTCCCCCTATATTAATAGAGTTCTCCTTTTTCTTCTAACCTCTATCGTGGGCCTCTACTACTACTACTACTCCGAATAGTTCACATTTAGTTTATGGGTTCATAATCATAATTTAAAATTAATTTTAATTTATATTATGAGAAAAAATACTATAAAGAATCACGAACTATGATACGAATTCTTACTCGCAGTCAGAACAAGTTTGTTGGTGGTTACTTGGGCAGTTATTAGCCTTGTATCGCGGAGTTGTGCCTTACACTTTTGAGGAGTCTTCGAAATATACTGGACCCGAGGCGTCTAGAGGATTTCGCCTTAGTCCGGTGGGCCTGGCATTCTCGACCGATCAATTGTTTGGGTTCGATCTTGAGACTTGGGCTCGATCACAAGCTTGGGCTCGACTATAGATTTGGGTTCGCCAAATCTGACACCAACAGACGGCATAGAAGTCCAACAAAAAATGCCATTCATCCCAAGTCAGGATGACTTGAGATTAGAGGTCCTGACCTGAGATTAGAGAAAAAGGCGGATACTTCTAATCCCGAGTCGGGATGAATATAGGTAACCCCTTAAATATCATGAATTGCATTGGCTTTGCACGTGTTGCCCTTGTATGGGTTGAGCATTAAAAAAAAAAAAAAAGTTAAATAAAAAGCTGGAAAAAAATTTTTCAACGACCCAGATTGTTTCTTTTTTAGCCATCCAACGACTAAATTGCACAGCTTATTCCTATCTTTTTATAGTCAAAAAGTTAAGTTAGAACGCAGCATACGCAAGGCTTTGTGGTGATTGGTAGACAAGGCAGTGACACATCTTATCATGATGGCGATTGGGCTTCTTAAGCAACACAACAAGAAAGAAAGAAAATTTATCAAATTGACTAGTATGGCCAATGGATAAAATTAATACCGACTAGTATGGCCAATGGATAAAATTAATTATTTGACAACAACTAATATTGAGAAACAGATGTTCTAGTACTGATTTATAATTGTTGTCTCACGAAGAAGATAAGATTGTATAAGAATGCGATAGTGAAACAAAAATTGCTAAAATAGTCCACCTAGAAATGTGGCATTAAAAATGAAAGCTTGGCTTCAAAAGTCTTGTCTCATGATGGCATATAGAAAAGCAATTAAAAATGAAAAAGGATACTTTGGATTTGGATTTTCTAAAATAGTATAGTTAATGGACAAAAGAATTCCATTATAAAGTACAATATTAAATTTCAACTTCTGCCGATAATAAACCCAACATTTTATATGACAGAAATTCTGGGTTATGACATTTTGATTTTTTGCATACAGATAATGGGTATTGGGTTGTTTGTCTAGTGGTTAGAATATCTTATTTGAAGGTTGTAATTTCAACTTTAATTTGTTGGGATAAATATGCCAAGACGTTAATGCAGTACATTGATTTGAATACAATATAGACATTCTGTGATGTTTGTTTATTTTATGGCAGATTCTGCAACCAGCCTGCGTATTATTTACATGCGGATCAAGATTCAGCTTTCAAGCCAATTTCTATTGAGTGTTGGTACTTGCTTATAACTTATAAGTTGAGGTGGCATTTGATCTGGGTAAGAGAACTTTATAGTATGCGTTTATTTATTTTTTTTTTTTTAGACTTGACCCTTAAAAGTTAATGTGAAATTAATATTATTTTTGTTTTGTTCAGTATTGCCGCTTTTATTTTTAATTTTTTTAAGTTGATTTATTTTAATAAAAGACAGTTAAGGCCTCGTTCGTTTCGCTGATTCGAGTTTAGAATTCGAGTTTTGCTACAGTAAAAAGCTCTCACATACAATCACATCTTAACTCAAATTCTAAACTCGAATCATCGAAACGAACGAGGCCTAAGTTCCTTAAAGAAAAAGACAGATATGATTAGAAAGTCAATAATAAAAATAACTATTATAAAAAGGTAAATTTGCATTTTTTTTTGCCTTTTTAATTTGGTAAATTATTTTTTGAATTTTATAAGGTTTACATGACAAAATTGATGAAATTGCTATTTTTTTTTTTTTTTAAAAAAAAAACACCTTCATGTACGCTATATGAGCTTGTTTGAAGGGAAAAGACAAATTTTAACACTTTAAAACGAACTGACATGATGTGTTCAAAATATTTTCATCTAAAATTTTAATAACCGTCACGATATAGAACAACTTGCCAATTCAAGGAAAAAAAAAATCAACAGTTCAACAAGAAAAAGAATCATAAAAAATAAAAGTGCCATGTACCCTAATCAGAAATAAGAAATCTAAATTTTGGATATTAATTAAGAACCTAACCTCCTAAATTTTGGATATTAACTCGCCCAAGCTAAATACTGCTCCCAAAGTCAATCAAGTAAAAATAAAAAAGAGATTTTAAAAAGCAGAATAATTCAGGGAAAGTGAAAAATTGATGCAAGTATTATGTACATGCTGAACTGAGAGTTATTCATTCCTCAGCCATCAAAACACTGTAACACACAACCTTCAATCTCCCCCGGGTTTTTTTGTACTCCGTTCATTTCCCTCTCTCTCATAAACACAAAGCTACATTGGAACTCTATAAAGCTGCTTAACTTATTTTCATAGTTCTCTTCTGTACAAGCAACAAACTCGTGGTATTCTTGCTAGCGACGTGAGGACTCAACAAGCACGCGGCTCTGGCACAGGCAACCGCCTCGCAACTATTCCAGAACTACCAGCTACTTTCAAGGAAGCAAAGAGACAGGACAATCTCGCTATCATCGGACTGGCCTTCACCACTTTGGGAACCACCACGAGTTGCTTGGCTGCGAGTTCCTCAGGAGCGCTGTGATACCCTTCAAGATCTGCTTTTGTAATAAGAACAGCATCTCCTGAGGGGGAGTATGCAGCTGAGGCTGGCTTTCTTCGGCTGAATTCTTGAACAGCCTATGTTTTAACATGCATTGAAGCAAAAAATTGAAACATGGTTCCAACTTTTGATGCTAGTTAGAAGAATTTGAGAAACGCCAACAACTAGTTGCTTTGGGTTTTGGATACAAAACAAGCGATATGACATTTTCATTTCACACAACAAATCTCATACCATTAGGCATCGAAACCTATGAAATCATTCAAGGATAAATAACATGAAAAACAGAGAAGCATCTAGCTTAAAATATAAGGAAAAATATATATAATATACCTTCCACTGAGATGGTGCTAGCAGAACACGGGGCCTTCTAGACCGCACATAATCCAGTGCAGCAGCTGGTGTCATGTTCTTGTATTCCACCTGCAAAATGCAAAAGAACTCCATTCAGTAAATGCTGATAACATTTTAGCCAACCCAACAAACAATTACAAATAGAGATCAAACCATCAATCTAAAGCATTAAATATTACCAAATAGCAGAGAACAATTGTTGTACTTCTACCACGACCGGCTTTACAGTGGACATAAGTAGTTCTACCGCAAGATGCATTCCCTGATCGACAAAAGGCAAATTTAGAAAAAAAATATATACATATATTTAACAACATACATATAGCCGCTACTCTCTATGCTAGCATAGTTGGACAAAATAGAATCTCTTACTGTGAATAAACTCCACAGCTCGGCTAATATCTACATGTGAAGGAGCAAAAAGATAATCTCTTGTAGGAATTACTAGATGGTCAATCCCATGGGCCTGAAATCATCAAATGATACATAAATTCAATTAACAGAAACAAACATGCAACCTCTAATGTTTCTTAATTTCTGGTTACAGGAAAGTTTCTTGAACCCTTTTTCCTTTTTTTTTTTTTTGTTTGGCTTAGAAAATTGAAAATTTATCCCAATTAGTTACTTAAATAATGACGTTACATGTACAGTACCAACAATCCTTTCTTATTGACAAATAAGGCTGATGACATCGTCAATTTAAAGATACATAGCCCACTTCAAGGCACTTGCGCATGACAAGTTATCCAAACTAAAAAGGCCTACACAATATATGACAATAATATAGTGATCGGTTATATAACAGCCTCCTAGTTCATTTCCTTATCTTTTTATCTTGGACCTTTTCTCTGGCACCATTCACGCATATATTCTAGTAGCCAATAGTACAAGCAAAATTAAAGAGAGTTTGATGGGAAGAAATATAATCCAATAGCTATAACCAAAAACCAAAATAATCATATAAAGAGAGTTAACGCACGTAATACAAGGATGAGGGAACCAATGTTTCATAAGGTTCATTGAGAGTGATAACACCACCAACACCTAGCCGCTTCAATCGCGGAACGTCTTTAGGAAATGGAACGGCGCCCAGCAAAAGGAACTGAAAAGAACATTATCCATTCAGTAATCAAACGCAATCGAATTCACAAATACTATGTCAGATAGAATTAAAGTGGGATAAAACTTGGGAAGAACAACTAAAACAGATTCCTACCCCTTGCAACATCTCCCAAAAAAAAAAAAATTTGAACAATAAGCTACAACAGGACACGCAGCTCAGCTACTGAGTACAGTCGTACACTCAAAGCTAAAAGTACAACGATTTTCCACAAAACTAAAGTAAAAAAAGTAGAAAATCAGTCCTGAACATTTGCGTCAAAGCCATCTTCATTATCTCAGGTCCCAAACAATTTTCTCGAAATAACATCAAAATTTTCACACTTGACTACAATTTCAGCATCAGCTTTCTGAGCAACCAAACAGAAACACAATCCAGCCGCTTGATCAGCTGCCAATAAAACTGGCTACACAATCAAAATCAGCTAATTCTCTCTAACCAAAAAAAAAGAAAATCAACAACTGCGATCAAAAGGCCAAAATATCACAAACACAGATTCAAACTTTTCCCCTAAGAAAATAACAAATATATATATATAAAACAGACCTGGTCAACTTCGTCCCACCATCTGAACTCTGTCTCGATCTTGTTCCGAAGCACATTATAGAGAAGCGTGGGATAGAAGAGGATCCGAGCGCCGGCTCCGACGAGCGCTCGCTTGGCGTCGACGCTCACAATCTGCGTCCCGTAAACGCCGTCATTCCGATCAGAGTCGACCTCGTCCAGTTCCTCGATCCTCATCAATTCTCCACACACAACCACAAATTTCAACCGATAACCCTAATCCCCCAACTGCGATCCAATTTCAAAAATAATTATCCACACAACAAATTACAATCACCAAAAACTATAACAACAAACTTCAAAAAAAAAAACACCTGAAAATTGAAGGAGGACTTCTTCAGTGATCGAACTGGATTGAATTACTCACCAAAGTGGAAGCATCAGATAGAGAGAATAAAACGATCGATAGAAGAAGAAGAAGAGCGAAAAGTGAAATAGGAAAAAATTGAGGATTGGTTTCTAAATTTTGGGAGAGAGAGAGAGAGAGAGGAGACTAGGAAAATTCCTTTGGTTTGTGTCCGTGTGTGAACACTGATGCGAAAGAATCAGTATCTTAGCATGGGAATCTCCTTCCTTTTTTATGTATTTTTTATTCATTTAAACTAAAACAGTAAATGCAAATATAATGTTACTATTTGCGATCAAAAAGGATAAGATGCGTATTTAATGTATTATTTTATTTTATGTTTCAATATATCTAATATCTATTTCTTTTATAATTATTACGCTTCAAATGTGTAAAAATAAAATTTTAATTTAAAAATGTCAATACAATCAACCAAATGAAGAGCCTTAAGACAAGAACTAATAGTCAATTAAATATTAAAATTATAATTAAGTATATTATATATTAGATTTAACACCGAAAATAATGTTAGACCATCTCCAATATAAATGTTAATGTTAATTTATATTTAACGTTAAAAAGTATGATATGTTATTTTCATTTTTACTCCGATGCATAATACTATTTAAAATGTTAAATATACATTTTTCTATAATAAGTGAACATTTATTTTTAAAATAATTAAAAAATGTAAAAGTTATAATGATTACATGAAAAAGTAAACATTTTAACCAATAACAATCAAATGTCAAATTTCTCATATGTTATATTTTGTGAGAAATTTACCATAAAATATAGCATATGAAAAATTTAGGACAATAAATAACATTATATTAGAGAATATTTTTTGTACACATATATTAAATTTGTAATTGACACATTAAGTATAATATTATATTGAAAATACTCTTATATTGGATAGTGTTTTTATTATTTAATTTAAATACTAAAAATTATCATGGACATTTAGTTTATAGATTTAAAATTATGATTCAGAATTATTCTCAATTTATGTATATTTTTTATAAAAAAAATACTATAATAAATTATAAATTATAATTTAAATCATGACACAAATTTACTAACTAAACGCACCAAAAGTAACCCACTGATTTAAGTATCGGGATGCTTTAAAGTTTAAACAGTCAATGGAGGAAAAAAACAAGAATAATATATATATATATATATATATATTTGACGTTGTAATTTGCAGCTGCCCACTTGCCCTTATAGTTTGGGTTAATTACTTGGAGACCCGACCAACCAAAGGTGAAGGTAATGAAGTAAAGGAGTGATGTGGTGGGGTGAGGTCCACCGTGGTTGATGATGGACTCTTCAACCTTACTTTGCGTCGTCTAGTCAAAAAGTTGTAAAGCTGTTACCTAAAAAAAACAAAGACAAACTGCTCAAATCGAAAAGTACTAAATATCACGTTTAGTTTATGATTTTAAAATTATAATTTATAATTTTATTTTTAAAATTTATAAAATTATTGATGAATTTTTAAAATAAATATCTTATAAGAGCGTTTACGGTCAGAGGCGGTTTTTTTGTAAAAATTACTAATCAAATTTAAAATATTTTTTTTTTCTTTCGAGCGGTTTAATAATTTTGACAAAAACTAAATTAAATCAAATCATTCATAAACGGTTTGAGCAGTTTAAGCTTAAAACTAAAAAGGTTTTATATAATTCATAAAAATTATAATTTATTAATTTATAAAAATAAAAATAAGATTTAAATTTGCAATATAACTTAAAAATAGTAAATATTTAAAAGTTCATCATTTAAAGTTTTAATACAAACCAATAAAAATATAATAGGGTGTATTTTATAAGTGTAAAACTTTTATTATGACTAATAAAAACTAAAATAAAAATAAAAATTTATATATGTATATTTTTAAAAAGCTTAAAGAGCCCAAACCACAAACCAAATCACTTAAAAAATTAGATTAAGAATTGACTAAATTGTCAAATAATTTAAAAATAATTAATAATTTGGTTCGGTTTGATTTAAATTGAGGAATTTTGATAGTGTGGTAGCTTTTTTAAACACCCCCATCGAACACACAAAAAGCTTAAGGGTGTAGGAGGACTGTTTGGTTGCCACGTTTTTCTTTTTTCCTTTTTCTCTCTTTATTATTGCGAAAGCATGAGGTAATGCGTAAATTAGCATATGAGAAAAAGTAAAAATTCTTTGAATTGTATTTTTTGGGTGAATTTTAGTTTAAAATTTTTTTTGATAGGACTAAAAAAATAAATTATCAGTAATATTTTATTTTTCAATCATAAAATTTATATCAAAAATTATTTATTCTATATTTTTTAAAATTTAATGTGATTTTAAACATATTTAACAGTTAAAAATTAATACTATCAGTGAAGAGACTTATCGAAAAAAGTCTAAAAAAACCAATAATGATTGTTTTCCACGGGTTTAGATTGTGGATTTGGACGTGAACCCGTGTTTAGGGTAGAAAAAAGAGACTCACTTCAATTCAAATGGGGGCAATGTGGCACTTTAAAAGTTCTGCATGAATTTTTTTTTTCTTTTTAATTTCTTATGTATATTGCGAAAATTTGTAGCCTATCCTTTTAAAATATGAACTATGTATGTGTCAGTCATCCATTAAAATTTGAAATTATGTACATCACGTCAATTAATAAAAGAGATTGCATTTATTAATAAAAAGATGACAATTCAGATATCACATCAATTAATAAATAAAAATTGGGATTCATTACTAATGAAAGACACATTATGCATATTGTCATGAAAATAACACTAAAACAACAATTTACAAAATAATAATAATAATAACAACGGGGCTAAAAGTATAAACAGGACGCCCGTAGTGCAGACTGGGGACAAAGGTGGCAATTACGGAACTTTCACATTTCTTATGGCCCCAATTTCCTCAACGATGAATTATAAAGAGGACATATTATTACGATCTTCAATGAAAAATATTATCTTTCAGCACTAATTGGCGACACATAATTACAAAAGTTTATTTAAGTTTGACATTACCATTTACATGGCACCTAATAATAATAATGTGTTGTGGGGGAGATTATTGGTGCTTGGTATGGTAACGTAGGGAAGAGGGCAAGTGAGTTTTGTTCTCAAAGAGAGAGACAAGCATAGTTGGTACTTGGTAGTGATGCTGGCTTTGAGATTATGGCCACAAGGCCAAAACTTTGAGCATAAACTCTTTTGGAGTCTAATTGGTTGAGAATCTTTAGATGAATATTTTATTGGCAAATGTTGCTATCTGTTCCCGATCCTCAAACTCTGCTCAACCCCCTAGCAACGTGATGGAGACTGGTTGGTGGCCAATTAGGTGAAGAAACTTTTTTTAATAACAGGAGAAACGCTAAATGCATCGAGTAATGGTGCGACTGTAAAATCTTAGTCGTTGATTCTCGAAGGTCATGCAATAATGAATGACCTTAAATTTTATATTCGTACTACTCAGTATGCATTTAACATTTCTCTAATATTGAATTGTTGAATCTTTCGATTTATATAGGTCCCACTTTTTTTTATTTTTTAGCGTTTACCTGAGGATGGATCATTGTCTTTTGATCAATATCTTTCGCATAAATATGTTTAGTTGATTGAGTTTGTTAGAAGGAAGAAAAAAAAAAACAAATAGACAAATAATGAAGCAAAAGAATAAAGGAAAAAGAACTGCAGCGAGCTATTCTTTTTGTGTTTTCTTGACCTGACTATTCACAGATATAATGTTCAATCATATGTTTGTTATTTGCTTTCCCTGTTTTGTGATCCAATTGCTCAAGCTCATAAATAATCTGAACAGTTCAAATGAAAAGAACTCGTTGATCACGAGAAACCCAAGAGTTGTAAACAAAAGATTTATTTTACTCAGTTAGTCACTTCAACACAAAGTTATGCTTCTTAAAAGTTGTAGAGTTGTGGTTTAAGAAGAATGATGAACTTCAGCCACGAAACTAGTGAATGGAAAAACCTTAACCAGTTTTGCCTGGCCTGTTCTTAGATTCTTGTAATTTGTTTTTGGGTTTTTTTAACGCTTTCTCCATGGGTTTTGGTATTCTTAATCACTTGGACTTTTTAGGTATATAGCAAAATTTTCCTAATCATATTAAAATATGAAAAAAATTTAGAATGTCATTAAAATAATTACTATGTCATTTTGTAGTACAAAGCGAACGTCATTAAAATAATTCTTATGTAATTTTTGTTATTTTTATAATATTTCAAAAACTTTTTTGCTAATTTGTAACTTTTACTATTTTGATTGGATTTTGGCCCAACATAGTTTCTGGATCAGAAACTTCTCATAAGGCCCAGATCTGGCCTGCTGAGAGTTATAAAACAGCCACATCCTAGGCCCATGATATTCTAGTCCTTTCACTTCCAAGTTGCTAGACTAGATTAATCCACAGAAAACAATCTCATCAATTCAAACACATTATTAAACATGAAAATTATATGGATAATCTTGAAAAATATTCTTTAAAAGTACATATGTCAGGCTTTTTACTCTTTATTTTTGATTCATAACTTTTTTAATCAAATAATTACACTAATAAAAAAATTTTTATCAAGAGTAAGAAATAAAGATCCATACTCATGTACTCACAAGAATAAATTCTCTATTTTTTTCAAATTATGCTTACATATGAGCCCATTGGTGGCTTAGCGGATTGGTGAATAACATAATGGGAACCAGAGTTCTTATCTAAATTGTCTTAAAAATAAATAAATAAAAATTAAAAAAAAACTTAGAATATTGTACCCGCAAAGGTATCTGTTGTCTCTAGTGGTCAAGACGATACTTTTCCATAGAAGTAGGACAAAACATGTTAAAAAACTCTCTTGTGTGACAAATTCCACGATTGGTTAGTTAGTCAAAAGAACGAAGGAGAAAAAAAAAAGTGTAATAGGCACGGCAAGAGTAGACTAGAATAGAATAATATCATATGTTTGAGATTCTACAGTTTAATTATGGCCTCATTAGCATCCTGGAATTTCTTAATGTCATTATACCAAAATAGATGAATGTTACCTAACTCCTACGTTTCTCAAAAGGATTCAAATTAAATATATTTGAAGTTAAAATAATCACCTTTAAAATGTCCCAAGTAAAGAATGGATCATGACTCCAAGAACTTTCTTT